CCGTCTTCCTTAAAGTGAGAGAGACGGACAGAGAGAGAATTTACAAATAAAGAGACAGATACTCCTACAGAGAAACAGATAGACAGAGAAAAGAGACAAAGAGAAACATTCAGGGAAAAGCACAGACAGAAAGAGAGAGATGGGCAGACAGAGAAACAATTTGACAGAGACAGAGACACACACACGCAGAAATTGACAGAAAAAATGGAATGAAAGAGACAGACCCATACAGAAACAAAATAACAGAACAGACAGAAACAAAGACGGAAAAAGCCAGAGACAGAGACAAAAAAGAGAGGGGAAACAGAGAGACGAACAGCAAGAGAAAGACAGAGACAGCGAAATACAGACATACAGAGTGAGACAGACAAATACATAAATAAAGACAGAGACAGACATAGAAAGCGAAGTACAGACAGAAAGGGAGACAATGAGACAGGAAGACACAGGACAGACAGTGACAGACATAGAGTAACAGAAGATCTAGAGACAGCGATAGACAGACATTCAGAGACAGAAGACAGGCAGAAATACCAGAGATATAGACAGAGAGAGACTGGTTTGTTGAGATATCATATATATATATAATATATCCCAAGTCCCTCTAGTTTCCTCACCAATCTGTTATTACCATCACCACCATCACTATCATCTCCCTCAACACCATCACCACTAATAATTCGTCACTATCATAGACAAGAGAGAGACACACACACACCATAAACGTCTAGAAATTATGCCAAAGGCAGATCCCAGAACTTGCTGTGGGAACTGGCCGCGAAAGCAATGACTGAACAGCGATTTTCAGTTATGAAGTGGAACTCCCAGAGATCGATAGAAGCTGTAGAGGAATTTACGGTCCGGAGCTCTATTGGAATTATTGACTCTGAAGTCATGGAATAAGTGCCTTCAATGGCTATAGGCATTTTCAGGTCGGAAATTCTACCACTTATCACATTTGAGGCCGTGGGAATTATTATTAAAAGAAACATCCCTAATACAATAAAATTAAAACTATGATACAAGTACTCGTTAGCTCATATGAGCCGAGAACGCCGCCACCGGGATTATGTTGCTGTCCAACTCACACACACACTAACGGTAACCGAAGAGCTCCCTACCCTCCCCCCCCTCCCCACACACACACACACAGAGGGTTACCAGCGCGGCGTGATAATGTTCCCAAGACAGCGTGGGCCCCTGAACACCACCTGACGGAACACCAAACTCCCGTTTTCCTTGATAGTGACCACCACCCCCCACCAGCCTCCAGCGAGAAGGAAGCTCTCTCACCCTCTTAACACAGATATTCCTCCTCCTCCTCCTCCTCCTCCTCCTCCTCCTCCTCCTTCTCCTTCTCTTTCTTCCCCTTTTTTCTTCGCCTTTTAAGACTTTTTTTTCTTTCGCTTCATCTTCCTAATCTTCCGTATCCTGATCATCATCTCTTCATTCTGCCAACACGTTAATTATCAAGATTAGCGGCGGCCTCTCAGCTACCTAGTGGGCACATGTTGGGCAAACGACGTTCATTCAACGTTGAATCAACGTCGATAAAGCTGAATCAACGTCGATAAAGCTGATTCAACGTCGATAAAGCTGATTCAACGTCGATAAAGCTGATTCAACGTCGATAAAGCTGATTCAACATCGATAAAGCTGATTCAACGTCGTTAAAGCTGATTCAACGTCGATAAAGCTGATTCAACGTCGATAAAGCTGATTCAACGTCGATAAAGCTGATTCAACGTCGATAAAGCTTATTCAACGTCGATAAAGCTGATTCAACGTCGATAAAGCTGATTCAACGTCGATAAAGCTGATTCAACGTCGATAAAGCTGATTCAACGTCGATAAAGGTGATTCAACATCGATAAAGCTGATTCAACGTCGATAAAGCTGATTCAACGCTACTCGTGCATGTTCCTGGCTCTCACAGACCTCTCTCGAGTCATTCTGCAACTCGCTACAATTTGAAGGTTTTTAGAGTGCAAGTGTGAGAGTGTTAATGAGGAAAGGTGAAAGAAATGGGTGTGTGTGGGAGAGGTAAAGTGTGGGGGTAGTGGTTATATGGGGAGGGGTGAATGGGGAGTAAGGGGATGAGAAAGAGAGGAAGGGAAGGTGAAGAAGAAGGGAGAGAAGAATTAAGCGAGGGATAGGAAGCAAGGTGTTCATGAATACATAATGCAACATATAAGCCCAGGTACTTTACGGGCTATTCATGCCCGTGCCTCCTTTTGGGTGGCTTAATCTTCATCAATCAATCAATCTGCTGCAACTTATGACGAACTATTAGTGTCTAGAGGTGTGAGGGAGCACGCGATCTGAAGGGAGTGTGGCTGGCTGTACTTGGGCTGCGTGCTGGTGGGAGTCACACCTTAACCTAAATGATTCTCCAAACATTCAATTGCACGACACAAACACTGGAGTCAGTGTACACAAACACTGGAGTCAGTGTACACAAACACACTGATCCCAGACCACCTAGCGAGTGTATCGAAGGATCTACCGCTACAATGAGGGCAGTTTCGCGGGCATATTAAATAGAGCTGTTGTTGTTGTATTAAATTCAGCTACTGGGAACAAAAAAAAATCCAAGCAGCACAGGCTATGGTGAACCCGTAGTGGACTTCTTTGGACCTAAATCGAGCTGTGTGTTGATGTTGTTATAGATTCAGCTACTCGGAACACAAAAAGTCCAAGGAGCAAACACATCTGTCCGACTAAATTGAGCGTTGTATTTGTAACTTTATTTCGGAACACAACACGGCATTAGCAACTCCGGACAAAAATGCACTCCGGCTCCGAAGCTTCCGTCCGATGCGACTCAAGTTCCGTGCTACTTGCTACAGTAATTCATCATAGCATGAATTGGCATATTCCACCTGGTATGGTACGTCGGGCAGGTTAGGAGAGCGAGGGAATGTGTCGTTGAGTTGTGAAGGGAAGTCTAGCGTAGACGCCTGTCGTTTCTCTTCGGGAAGGTTCACTCTCTCTCTCTCTCTCTCTCAACTATAGTATACTGACCAGCAAGCAAGTATACCTCAGTCCCGGACATACTCCAGAACTGAAGTAAACTCAGTGAAAATATGTGTAATATACATCTCCGCTAACCCCCCCCCCCTTCTCCCACGATCATATATACATAGTGCGACATGAGGAAATGTGTACATAATAACGGGTACAAGATATGATGTGATGGGAATATGAGAGAGCATGACGACCACTGATTTGAATCACTTTCGTACATCTTGTTTTGGTTTACACAAATTTATTCTAGGTGTCGACACGTGCGCATGCTCGCACACACACACACACATCACACACACACACACGCACACGCACACACACATCACACACACGCACACGCACACACACAGATCCTGTTGATTGACGGTTGAGAGGCGGGACCAAAGAGCCAGAGCTCAACCCCCGCAAGCACAACTAGGTGAGTACAACTAGGTGAGTACACACACACACACACACACACACACACACACACATGAATGGGATATAAGGTAAGTTAAGATGGAAGCGCCCTTGGGAATGAGTGACCACAGTGTATTGAACTTTGAGTACCTGGTAGAGCTAGGAATTATCTCCCCCCAAAAAGAACTAGGAATCAAAAGGCTGGCATACCGAAAGGGGAATTATGAACAGATGAGAAGTTTCCTAAGTGAAATACCTTGGGACACTGACCTCAGAGACAAGTCTGTACAGGGTATGATGGACTATGTTACCCAAAAGTGTCAGGAGGCAGTAAACAGGTTCATCCCGGCCCAAAGGGAAAAATCCGAGAAGCAACAGAAGAATCCATCTTATAATAGGGCATGTATGGAAGCGAAGAAACTGAACAAAAAGGCGTGGAGGAACTTCCGGAATAACAGAACACCAGAAAGCAGAGAGAGATACCAGAGAACCAGGAATGAGTACGTCAGGGTGAGAAGAGAAGCAGAGAAAATTTTTGAAAATGATATAGCAAACTAAGCCAAGACCGAACCAAAGCTACTCCACAGTCACATCAGAAGGAAAACAACAGTGAAAGAACAGGTATTGAAACTTAGAACAGGCGAGGACAGGTATACAGAGAATGACAGAGAGGTGTGTGAGGAACTCAACAAGAGGTTCCAGGAGGTCTTCACAATAGAACAGGGTGAGGTCACTGTGCTAGGAGAAAGGGAGGTAAACCAGGCGGCCTTGGAGGAGTTCGAAATTACGAGAGAGGAGGTCAAGAGACACCTGCTGGATCTGGATGTTAGAAAGGCTGTTGGTCCAGATGGGATCTCACCATGGGTACTGAAAGAGTGTGCAGAGGCACTTTGCCTGCCACTCTCCATAGTGTATAGTAAGTCACTAGAGACTGGAGACCTACCAGAAATATGGAAGACGGCGAATGTGGTCCCAATATACAAAAAGGGCGACAGACAAGAGGCACTGAACTACAGGCCAGTGTCCTTGACTTGTATACCATGCAAGGTGATGGAGAAGATCGTGAGAAAAAACCTGGTAACACATCTGGAGAGAAGGGACTTCGTGACAAATCGCCAACATGGATTCAGGGAGGGTAAATCTTGCCTTACAGGCTTGATAGAATTCTACGATCAGGTGACACAGATTAAGCAAGAAAGAGAGGGCTGGGCGGACTGCATTTTCTTGGATTGTCGGAAAGCCTTTGACACAGTACCGCATAAGAGGCTGGTACATAAGCTGGAGAGACAGGCAGGTGTTGCTGGTAAGGTGCTCCAGTGGATAAGGGAGTATCTAAGCAATAGGAAGCAGAGAGTTACGGTGAGGGGTGAGACCTCCGATTGGCGTGAAGTCACCAGTGGAGTCCCACAGGGCTCTGTACTCGGTCCTATCTTGTTTCTGATATATGTAAATGATCTCCCGGAGGGTATCGATTCATTTCTCTCAATGTTTGCGGACGATGCTAAAATTATGAGAAGGATTAAAACAGAAGAGGACTGTTTGAGGCTTCAAGAAGACCTAGACAAGCTGAAGGAATGGTCGAACAAATGGTTGTTAGAGTTTAACCCAACCAAATGTAATGTAATGAAGATAGGTGTAGGGAGCAGGAGGCCAGATACAAGGTATCATCTGGGAGAGGAAATTCTTCAGGAGTCAGAGAAGGAAAAAGACTTGGGGGTTGATATCACGCCAGACCTGTCTCCTGCAGCACATATCAAGCGGATAACATCAGCGGCATATGCCAGGCTGGCCAACATACGAACGGCATTCAGAAACTTGTGTAAAGAATCATTCAGAACTTTGTATACCACATATGTCAGGCCAATCCTGGAGTATGCAGCCCCAGCATGGAGTCCATATCTAGTCAAGGATAAGACTAAACTGGAAAAGGTTCAAAGGTTTGCCACCAGACTAGTACCCGAGCTGAGAGGTATGAGCTACGAGGAGAGACTACGGGAATTAAACCTCACTTCGCTGGAAGACAGAAGAGTTAGGGGGGACATGATCACCACATTCAAGATTCTGAAGGGGATTGATAGCGTAGATAAAGACAGTCTATTTAACACAAGGGGAACACGCACAAGGGGACACAGGTGGAAACTGAGTGCCCAAATAAGCCACAGAGATATTAGAAAGAACTTTTTTAGTGTCAGAGTGGTTGACAAATGGAATGCATTAGGGGGTGATGTGGTGGAGGCTGACTCAAATACACAGTTTCAAGTGTAGATATGATAGAGCCCAGTAGGCTCAGGAATCTGTACACCTGTTGATTGACGGTTGAGAGGCGGGACCAAAGAGCCAGAGCTCAACCCCCGCAAACACAACTAGGTGAGTACAACTAGGTGAGTACACACACACACACACACACACACACACACATACACAAGAGTGGTCGTCTTGACGACTGTAGTGGTTGTACGCATCCAGTTGCACTCAATATCTAATTGTGCCTGTTTGGGGTTGAGGTTCAGCTCACTGGTCCCGCCTCACAACTTTCAAGCAAGAAGTACATAGAATCTCCAGTCTTCCGAAGCTTCGTATGGGTTCTGATTCCACCTCTGAACATCTAAGCGCACTCAATTTGTTCACTGTTTTGATTCTGAACCAATTGTCTCTAAAATCCAAGTAGCTCATTCGGGAACGTAAATTCTACTTGAGTACCACCCATTCGAAATGATATGCTCTTGTCTGGCTTGTCTATTCTCATGAAAACTTTGCATATAGCAATTATGTCTCCCCTTGACTCAACAATAGTACTAGGGCTATCTTCCTATGTCTGCTGGACCACTGGAGCCTCACTGGGGTCATCTCTGTGTCTGCTGGATCAATGGAGCCTCACTGGGGTTGCAGGATCGAGCATTGACTCTTGGATCCCGCCTTTCTAGCCACTGTGTGTGTGTGTGTACTTAGAAATACTGCCTTATATATGATTAACAAATAGCATTAGCTCCTGGGTTCCGCTTTTCAACCGTCGGTCGGCTATCGCAATATCTCACTTACTGGCTATTCATGGCCGTGCCACCTCTTGGGTGGTTTATTCTTCATCAATCCATCAATATCTCCCGACTCTTGTGTTGCATATAGTTCTTGCTATTGAAACTAAGGAGGGAGCTAGTCTCCATAAAACTCCTCTTTAAGCTCATTACTATTACACTGAAATTGTTTTTTATATGCCTTCAGATTTGAGATGCAAATTGTTTCCAAAAAGCTGAGCCGAGTAGTTTAGTAGCGAGAGAAATAGTTGCAACACTTTACAACATCTGCTTAAGAACAGACGTTCTTAAGCAAGCTATCAGTCAGAAACTTTTAAACCAAACTGATGAAGCAGCAAGACTATTGAGTCCATTTTGAAGCTGTCTTGTCAAAACACGTCAAAACATTGCATTTTGCCGGCAGCATCACAGTAGACACCAGAGAGGCTCTTGTAATGGCTTTATTTCTGACCAGTAAACAAGAGTGGTAGAAACTTATTAGTGACTCAGACAGACATTATAACTTATCGTTCCTGGAAGACAACTGAACAATGTGATATTCGTCACCATCTCTGGAAACTTACATAATGTAAACGATATTCAAAACTGTACTTTATATAATCTATTATTTCTAACCTTTGAGCATCAAGGTCGTCATTTAAGTGTGGGGGCAGATGATCAGTCGAAGCTGTAGATTAGAATCTTAGAACAAAATAATGTGCTTTTTGAAGATAATATCCAGAGAGAAAGATGGATATTATCGAGAATTTCCTCTGCTTGTTCCTTATCTTCCTCCTTCAAATACCGAAAGACATTTTCAAACGCTTCTCTTAAGAGATGGGTCGGCGCCGTGAGCGGGAACCTTGTGTATGGATCTTCAAACGTTATTTGAAGCCGAGTTGAATTTTGTTTACATATTGCGGTTGTCTCTACAGACGCTATGAATATATACCGTCGCTCCCACATTAAAAATATAGATTAATGGAACATTAATGTCGGGTTTGTCGGGAATGTCGGGAAGAGTAGCGCGAAAGTGTTAACTGGTATCCGTTTTCTTCGAGCCGGATAACGCTTCAGTGATCATTTTGTATTAAAGTCTTGATCCATTAGGTTAAATTACCACTGGCCTTGTTGAACTGGCGGGTATACTAAAATAGTGTGAAGAAAAACACTAAAATTTATTTTTCAAATGTTTCATTGCTCTTTCAACACTTTCAATTAATTAACACTTCGTTACCAATTGTTTTAAAATGTAAATGTTTATTATGTGTCGGAACTCAAAATAAATTACATTTGTATTGCAATATAAATGGAAAATATATTGCACCATTATGATGTCAACGTGTCAGCCTTTATTATGATGATGCCTTTTTATTGATCAAATGCACTCTGTATCTGTCTGTCTTTGTCTGTCTGTCTGTCTGTCTGTCTGTCTGTCTGTCTGTCTGTCTGTCTCTGTCTGTCTGTCTGTCTGTCTGTCTGTCTGTCTGTCTGTCTGTCTGTCTGTCTGTCTGTCTGTCTATCTTTTCCAGCCCGTTTGTGTTTTTCAACTTCCTCTCAGTTTTCATTCCATCTCTGTCTCTCGCTCTCTCCTTGACTTACTCTCTCTCGCAGCAGCAGCTTGCGGTGTAGGAGCTCTGTCTGTCTGTCTGTCTGTCTACTCTCATCTTTAGTACTGTTACTCTCCTCTCTCGTGCACTCACACATACTCACACATACACACACACACACACACACACACACACACACACACACACACACACACACACACACACACACACACACACACACACACACACAGCGGCCCTAGCATGGCGCCCGTTCCTTGTCAAGCGTAAGAAGAAGCTGGAAACAGTTCAGAAGTATGCCACTAGGCTAGTCCCAGAACTAAGAGGCATGAGTTACGAGGAAAGGCTGCGGGAAATCCACTTCACGACTCTGGAAGACAGAACAATAAGGGGAGGCATGATCACTATCTACAAAATTCTCAGAGGAATTGACAAGGTAGATAAACTGCTTAACACGAGGGGGGGGGGGCACGCGAACAAGGGGAAACAGGTGGAAACTGAGTACCCACATGAGCCACAGAGACGTTAGAAAGAACTTTGTCAGTGTCAGAGTAGTTAACAGATGGAATGCATTAGGCAGTGATGTAGTGGAGGCTAATTAACTCCACAGTTTCAAGTGTAGATATGACAGAGCCCAATAGGCTCAGGAATCTGTACACCAGTTGATTAACGGTTGAGAGGCGGGACCAAAGAGCCAGAGCTCAACCCCCGCAAGCACAATTAGGTGAGTACACACACACACAGGTCCTCACATCGAGCGGACAGTACTCGGGGGGGGGGGGGGTCATAGTCCTAAGGGCCTGAGTTCGATTCCCGGCCGAGGCAGAAACATATGACCAGAGTTTCTTTCACCTAAAGCTCCTGTTCACTTACCAGTAAACAGATACCTTTGGAGTTAGCTGCTAAGGCTGCATCCTGGGAATGTGTGTGCGCGTGCGTCAGAGAGAAATAGAAATAGATGACGATATTCTTGAGGCTATCTTGAGTTTCTTGAGGAAACTCAAGATATGAAATAAGGAAAAAAAAAACAAAAAATTTGGGAAATTTGTACATTGGACACCTGAAGATTGGAAAAAGGTGAGCCCCCAGTGCAACCTATCCATGACCTATCCATAAGCTATTCATGACCTATCCATGACCTATCCATAAGCTATTCATGACCTATCCATGACCTATCCATGAGCTATTCATGACCTATCCATGACCTATCCATGAGCTATTCATGACCTATCCATGACCTATCCATAAGCTATTCATGACCTATCCATGACCTATCCATAAGCTATTCATGACCTATCCATGACCTATCCATGAGCTATTCATGACCTATCCATGACCTATCCATAAGCTATTCATGACCTATCCATGACCTATCCATAAGCTATTCATGACCTATCCATGACCTATCCATGAGCTATTCATGACCTATCCATGAGCTATTCATGACCTATCCATGACCTATCCATGAGCTATTCATGACCTATCCATGAGCTATTCATGACCTATCCATGAGCTATTCATGACCTATCCATGAGCTATTCATGACCTATCCATGACCTATCCATGAGCTATCCCTAACCTAACCTAACCTTCACCCTCACAGAAGATGGACCCCACGCCAGCCTCGGCCAGTCTCTCCTCGATGGAGGACGATGATTTCTTCCCCGTGGACGAGGCAGACGAGGCCCGCTTCTTCGTCTACTCGTACAATGCCACCACCCTCGTCACCACGGCCGGCCTGGCCATGGGTCTCTTCTTCATCATCACCGCCATCGCTCTCTACTACTACTACTACGTCGAGGTCGGCTTGCGCAGGAATGAGAAATATAGGCGCACAGGTACGTCACACGGGCTATACGGGCTCGCCATAGCCCGTGCTGCTTGGAACTTTTTGTTCATAAACAACAACATTGTCTGTGATTCACTACTATAACATTGTCAGACTGGGCCTCTATCGCTGGGAGTACTGGAGCGATATCAACTGATATTTATGATATCTTTTTATATCTTTGTCATGTGTACGTTCTTACGGCCTGGAACTTATTCCTCGAGCCGCCTGTCATGTTATCCTATGACAGTTCATCTCTGTGTCAGGTCAAGAAATGATCATTTCTAGAAATGAAATGCTTGTAATAATTTGTGTTTCCTTCAACTTGACTGTGTTGAAAAGTGTGTGTGTATGTATATATATATATATATATATATATATATAGGTTTGTGATGCTGTGATGTTTCGGAGGTCTGCTACCCTCTGATCATCACCCACACAATAGCACCATCACCACCATCTAAATCATCACCACATCATCACCAGCACTACCACCCCCTCTCACCACCATCTCCCCCACACCACCACCCCCTCTCACCACCACCACCACCATCTCCCCCACACCACCACCCCCTCTCACCACCACCACCATCTCCCCCACACCACCACCCCCTCTCACCACCACCACCATCTCCCCCACAGGTTACAGAAACGACCGAACCATCGACGCGTACTTCGACATCCTTGACCTGCTGGAGAAGGCTTGGGCGATCTACGCGGTGGAGAGCCAGGACTGTCGCCGACGGGTGGTGTGTGAGGCCCACCTCCCCTCGGCCAGCCTGATCAACCAGCCTGTTGCTGGAGTCCTCACCGAGCTCTTCGGGTACAGTGGCTTCACTAACAACGTGTTCATTCACATCTTTGGGGGTTCTAGACTTCATTCAGAGCATCGTGGGTTCAATTTAATGATCTCTTCACTTAAGTCCTTCACTCAGGAGCTTCACTAAGGTTCAAAAGCTTCACTCAGGAGCTTCACTAAGCTTCAAAAGCTTCACTCAGGAGCTTCACTAAGGTTCAAAAGCTTCACTCAGGAGCTTCACTAAGGTTCAAAAGCTTCACTCAGGAGCTTCACTAAGGTTCAAAAGCTTCACTCAGGAGCTTCACTAAGGTTCAAAAGCTTCACTCAGGAGCTTCACTAAGATTCAAAAGCTTCACTCAGGAGCTTCACTAAGGTTCAAAAGCTTCACTCAGGAGCTTCACTAAGGTTCAAAAGCTTCACTCAGGAGCTTCACTAAGGTTCAAAAGCTTCACTCAGGAGCTTCACTAAGGTTCAAAAGCTTCACTCAGGAGCTTCACTAAGGTTCAAAAGCTTCACTCAGGAGCTTCACTAAGGTTCAAAAGCTTCACTCAGGAGCTTCACTAAGGTTCAAAAGCTTCACTCAGGAGCTTCACTAAGGTTCAAAAGCTTCACTCAGGAGCTTCACTAAGGTTCAAAAGCTTCACTCAGGAGCTTCACTAAGGTTCAAAAGCTTCACTCAGGAGTTATCACTTACCATTTACATTCATAAATCTCAAGTCTTACATGATTCAGGGGCCCAGCTGAAGTACAAAGAGAGAGAGAGAGAGAGAGAGAGAGAGAGAGAGAGAGAGAGAGAGAGAGAGAGAGAGAGAGAGAGAGAGAGAGAGAGAGAGAGAGAGAGAGAGAGAGAGAGAGAGAGAGAGAGAGAGAGAGAGAGAGAGAGAGAGAGAGAGAGAGAGAGAGAGAGAGAGAGACAGAGACAGAGACAGAGAGAGAGAGAGAGAGAGAGAGAGAGAGAGAGAGAGAGAGAGAGAGAGAGAGAGAGAGAGAGAGAGAGAGAGAGAGAGAGAGAGAGAGAGAGAGAGACAGATTAGACAAAGAATGATTAAACCAAAGATTCTATTTATACAAGTCCACTATAGGGTCCACATTTTAATCATTATTAAATCCTTTGATCAACGTTGCCGGATTGTCCTGACCTGACATGACCCCTTCCTCAACAGCCAGGTAACTGAGGAAATGCTGGGACAGATGGACGAAGGAGATGCAGCCTCCGTACGAGATCTACAGCTGGCAGCACAGTACGGGCGGACGGTAAGGAGCTGCCAGGCGTACGAGCGTCACTGTCCAGATCAACAATTGGCTACTCTACCCCAGAACTAGCAGAGTAAATGAAAGCTAAATCCCCAAATTTTCAATAGACCAGTGGGATTATAGACTCAGTTCCAGTGGTAAAGCAGTGGGATTAATATACCATCAGACCACTCTAATCAGACCACTCTAATCAGACCACTAGGACAGAACCACACTTACACTGGCAGACCATCGTAAGTGACAGTCTTCCATTCTTACCACTGAAATGGTCTGACCAAACAACTTCACACAGTCACACTAACTATTAGAACGAACTCACTTCAAAATCCGTCAGTTCAGGAACAATTAAATTGATGCGGAGCTGCCCCCAAACAATCGACTAACTTGTTGTAGAGCTGCCCAAACAATCTTCTAGTTGCAAAGCTGCTCAAACAATCCACTCCAGATGTCTCTTTCACACACACACACACACACACACACACACACACACACACACACACACACACACACACACACACACACACACACACACACACACATTCAACATAGTTGATTGACAGTTGAGAGGCGGGACCAAAGAGCCAGAGCTCAACCCCCGCAAGCACAATTAGGTGAGTACATTACGAATACCAGAGGAATAACAGAGTACTAAAAGGTGTTTCAAGACGAAGTGGGAAAAATGCACAAGAAGTGAAGTAGAAACAAGGCCGTTGGCCCAGATGAGGTTTCACTTTGGGTTCTGAGAGAATGCTCCCCTGAGCTAAGCACCCGACTTCAATTGATTTTTCAGTCATCTTTGTTAACAGGAATCTTGACAGGTATGGAAAAAAGGCAAACACAGTTCCAATCTACAAGAACGGTATCGTATCACGGAAGACCATTAAGACTAGAAAAACTTATTAAAACCAAATGGGCAGACCAGCAGTAAAATAGGTACCTGGGTGTTAGTCAGCTGTCACGAGCTGCTTTCTGGGGGTAGAGGCCTGGTCGAGGACCGGGCCGCGGGGACACTAAAGCCTCGAAATCATCTCAAGATAACCTCAAGATAGACCACCTGGAGAGGAATGCTAAAATAACAGTATGGTTTTCGATCAGGAAGATCCTGTGTAACAAATCTACTTAGTTTCTACGATTGAGCCACAAAGACCATACAGGAAAGATATAGTTGACTTTACTGTATCGTGACAAAAAATAAAAAAAAGGCTGTTGACAAAGTCCCATATAAAAGATCCTTCCGGAAACTGAAACATACTGGAGAGGTGACAGAGAGACTTCTGATTTAGATAAAAATTATCCCGAGAGGAAAATGGTAATGCGATAGGAATGGTAATGATGAGATAGGAGTGGTAATGAGAGGCAAATGTACCAGACTGAAGAAATCCTACTAGAGTACCGCAGGGTTCAGTTCTAGCACCAGTAATGTTCATTATCTATATAACGATCTACCAGAAGGAATGAGAGTTATATGAACATTCTTATATGATTGTCACGCCCTTCAAGAACACCTGGATATACACAAGTGTATGGAACATCACTTGGCAAACGGAATTTAATGTGAATAATGTGAATAAGTGAATTTTGGCACTTATTCACATTAAATTCCGTGTCGTTGGAAAGTGGAATAGGAGATAATTTGTAGGCTGAGTGTGGCCTGTTATCTGATAAGGCGTTAAAGAATTCTGATAAGGAGATCAAGGGGTGATTCAGCCACAAAGGATCACAGTGTGAGAGGAGCCTATGCTACGCTTTCCATCTTCAGAATCAGTTTTAAATACATGGATGGCGAAATATTACAGATATTGTTCACGACCTTCGCAAGACCAAAAATTGGAATGTGCAGCGGTTGAATGGTGTCCAGATCAAGTTCAAGTATGTTTACTGAGACAAGAAAGAAATACATCTCAAAGGGATAGAGTAGATTAGGCTATTTCTACCCCCCCTACTAAATCTAAAGAAGTCAATCAATAAACTGGAAAAGGTGTACAGACATGAAACTAATTGGCTTCCGGAACTAAGAAACAAGAGCTCCGAGGAGAGGCTCAAGATCTTAAATATACTAAAACTAGAAGATAGAAGAAAAAGAGGTGATATGATCACTACGTACAAAATAGAAACAGGAATCGACCAAACTGACGAAGAAGAGTTCTTGAAAACTGCAGCTTCAAAGAAAGAGATATCATAGATGGAAACTAAGGAAACGAAATACCGAAAAAACATTAGAAATTTCACTTTTGCAGAGTGGTAGACGGTAGGAACAACTGAGAAGGTGGTGATGGAGGTGAAGACCGTCAGTAGTTTCAACGTGTTATACGACAAAGAGTACTGGGAAGACGGGACACCACGAGGTGGGACACCACGAGGTGGGACACCACGAGGCGGGACACCACGAGGCGGGACACCACGAGGCGGGACACCACGAGGCGGGACACCACGAGGCGGGACACCACGAGGGTAACTCTCCCATCCTCTAACTACACTTAAGTAACTACACACACACACACACACACACTTACACACTTACAGCTCCTAGACTTCGTGTTTTGTGCTAATTTAAATGGCCAGTATCCTTAAAGTAATCCAGTTTAGTAATGTAAGTAATGGATAAAAGTGTAGTTGATATAGTGATGCAGATGTCATACAGCTTATAACTTAGCTTGAAATAGAGATGTACTATGTTTGAAGTTTTTTTTTAAAGTTAGCTTGAAGTAGTGTTTATTTGATAAAGTTTGAACTTAGGTTCAAGTAGAGAATATATTATTTATAATATAAATGACGTAATTTAGCAAGTATTGTTTAAGGGAATTCCAATTTTTGTTACTAATTTATTATTTAATATATTTAATTTAACTTAATTGTTATTTATATCTATTACAATATATTTATGATTTCTGTCATTAAATCATTCAATATCATTATCTATTTGTCTATCTTTCCTAAATATCTATCTATCTCAACACTAACGCAACATAACAAATAAAGAACAATTAATTGTTAGAAAAATAATTTATAACTTATCCTTCGAACAATAACAAAATACAAAAACACCCAAAAACAAATAAAAAACTAAAAAAAATCAATTATATAATCGATATGATAAAAAAAAACCTCACGAATTATTTTGAGACGCTCGAGAAAATCTGAATATCTTTGTTCAATTTCATTCTTTCAGTATAAGTATAGAGATGAAGAGATTTGCTTTAATGGTCCGTGTGGTATTGAGACACCTGCTCCAGCTGGGCGGGGGAGGGGGGGCAGGAGGAGCAGCAGGAGGGAGGAGGAAGAGAAGTAGAAGAAGGTTGAGAAAGGAAGGAGATTAATAACAGAAACTGGGATAATTGGAAGGTGTTACATGATCTAACAATGCTATAGTGTTCTTGCTAACGAATGAGAGGCACGGTTTCATCACAGTACCTCCCTACCGTGTGTTGCAACGCATGGCGACTTGACTGAGTAATAATTTATGTGGTATGTCACATACAACACACACAAACACACATACACAGTTGAGTGGTGGAACCAAAGAGCCAGAGCTCAACCCCCCACAAGCACAACTAGCTGACTACACACATACATGTGTGTGTGTGTACTCACCTAGTTGTGTTTGCGGGGGTTGAGCTCTGGCTCTTTGGTCCCGCCTCTCAACCGTCAATCAACAGGTGTACAGATTCGTGAGCCTATCGGGCCCTGTCATATCTACACTTGAAACTGTGTATGGAGTCAGCCTCCACCACATCACCCCCTAATGCATTCCATTTGTCAACCACTCTGACACTAAAAAAGTTCCTTCTAATATCTCTGTGGCTCATTTGGCCACTCAGTTTCCACCTGTGTCCCCTTGTGCGTGTTCCCCTTGTGTTAAATAGACTGTCTTTATCTACCCTATCAATTCCCTTCAGAATCTTGAATGTGGTGATCATGTCCCCCCTAACTCTTCTGTCTTCCAGCGAAGTGAGGTTTAATTCCCGTAGTCTCTCCTCGTAGCTCATACCTCTCAGCTCGGGTACTAGTCTGGTGGCAAACCTTTGAACCTTTTCCAGTTTAGTCTTATCCTTGACTAGATATGGACTCCATGCTGGGGCTGCATACTCCAGGATTGGCCTGACATATGTGGTATACAAAGTTCTGAATGATTCTTTACACAAGTTTCTGAATGCCGTTCGTATGCTGGCCAGCCTGGCATATGCCGCTGATGTTATCTGCTTGATATGTGCTGCAGGAGACAGGTCTGGCGTGATATCAACCTCCAAGTCTTTTTCCTTCTCTGACTCCTGAAGAATTTCCTCTCCCAGATGATACCTTGTATCTGGCCTCCTGCTCCCTACACCTATCTTCATTACATTACATTTGGTTGGGTTAAACTCTAACAACCATTTGTTCGACCATTCCTTCAGCTTGTCTAGGTCTTCTTGAAGCCTCAAACAGTCCTCTTCTGTTTTAATCCTTCTCATAATTTTAGCATCGTCCGCAAACATTGAGAGAAATGTGTGTGTGTGTGTGTGTGTGTGTGTGTGTGTGTGTGTGTGTGTGTGTACTCACCTAGTTGTACTCACCTAGTTGTGTCTGCAGGATCGAGCATTGACTCTTGGATCCCGCCTTTCGAGCATCGGTTGTTTACAGCAATGACTCCTGTCCTATTTCCCTATCATACCTGGTTTTAAAATTATGAATAGTATTTGCTTCCACAACCTGTTCCTGAAGTGCATTCCATTTCCCCACTACTCTCACGCTAAAAGAAAACTTCCTAACATCTCTGTGACTCATCTGAGTTTCAAGCTTCCATCCATGTCCTCTCGTTCTGTTACTATTCCGTGTGAACATTTCGTCTATGTCCACTCTGTCAATTCCTCTGAGTATCTTATACGTTCCTATCATGTCCCCCCTCTCCCTTCTTCTTTCTAGTGTCGTAAGGCACAGTTCCCTCAGGCGCTCTTCATACCCCATCCCTCGTAGCTCTGGGACGAGTCTCGTTGCAAACCTCTGAACCTTTTCCAGTTTCATTATATGCTTCTTCAGATGGGGACTCCATGATGAGGCGGCATACTCTAAGACTGGCCTTACGTAGGCAGTGTAAAGCGCCTTAAATGCCTCCTTACTTAGGTTTCTGAATGATGTTCTAACTTTTGCCAGTGTAGAGTACGCTGCTGTCGTTATCCTATTAATATGTGCCTCAGGAGATAGATTAGGTGTTACGTCCACCCCCAGGTCTCTTTCACGCGTCGTTACAGGTAGGCTGTTCCCCTTCATTGTGTACTGTCCCTTTGGTCTCCTATCTCCTAGTCCCATTTCCATAACTTTACATTTGCTCGTGTTGAATTCTAGTAGCCATTTCTCTGCAATCTGTTCAGGTCCTCTTGGAGGATCCTGCAATCCTCATCTGTCACAACTCTTCTCATCAACTTTGCATCATCCGCAAACATCGACATGTAGGACTCTACGCCTGTAAACATGTCGTTAACATATACAAGAAATAGAGTTGGTCCCAGCACCGATCCTTGTGGTACTCCACTTGTTACTGTTCGCCAGTCCGACTTCTCGCCCCTTACCGTAACTCTTTGGCTCCTTCCTGTTAGGTAGTTCCTTATCCATTCTAGGACCTTTCCCCCCACCCCCGCCTGCCTCTCGAGCTTGAACAGCAGTCTCATGTGCGGTACTGTATCAAAGGCTTTTTGGCAGTCCAGAAATATGCAGTCTGCCCAACCATCTCTGTCCTGTCTTATCCTCGTTATTTTATCATAGAATTCCAGAAGGTTTGTTAGGCACGATTTCCCTGTCCAGAACCCATGTTGATGTTTGTTCACAAACCTAATGTTCTCCAGGTGTGCAACCAGTCGCAGCCTAATTATTCTTTCCAGTATTTTACAGGGGATGCTTGTCAGTGATACAGGTCTGTAGTTAAGTGCCTCCTCCCTATCTCCTTTCTTGAAGATCGGCACGACATTTGCCTTCTTCCAGCAACTGGGCAATTCTCCTGACATAAGTGTCTCATTAAAGATCATTGCCAGAGGCACGCTGAGGGCCTGTGCTGCTTCTTTTAGTATCCACGGTGATACTTTGTCTGGTCCAACTGCTTTAGTTGCATCTAGAGTTGTCAACTGTTTCATTACCTCCTCTGCTGTCACCTCTATATCTGATAGTCTTTCATCTAGGGTAACCCCTTCCAACAATGGGAGCTGCTCAGGCTCGGTAGTGAACACTCCATGGAAACTGGCATTCAGTGCCTCGCAGATTTCCTTGTCACTTTCAGTATATGCCCCCTCTGTCTTCCTTAGTCTTGTCACTTGGTCGTTCACCGACATTTTTCTTCTTATATGACTGTGTAGTAACTTAGGTTGTTTTTTCGCTTTGATTGCAATATCGTTCTCATAGTCCCTTTCCGATGTTCGTCTTATGTTAATGTAATCGTTCCTAGCTCTGTTGTATCTGCTTCTGTTGTCCTCTGTTCTTTGTCTTCTGTACTTCCTCCACTCCCGTCTGCTGGCCATTTTTGCTTCCTGACACTGTCTATTAAACCATGGGTTATTATATTCCTTCTTATTTTTTCCCTTTACCGTTGGTATAAATCTCTCTTCGGCCTCCTGGGATTTCTGTATGACTAGGTCCATCATATCTTGGACTGTTTTTCCTCTAATTTCTTCCTCCCACTGCACTTCACCCAGATAGTCCCTTATCCTCATATAGTCCCCTTTCCTGTAGTCAGCTCTCCTTTCCCAGATCTCTTGTCCCATGGTCATAAGTTTGAATTCCATCATGTAGTCAAAGACTAGGACACAATGGTCACTGGCCCCTAGAGGTATTTCATGCTCTAAATTCTCGATATCTTCTACGTTCTGGGTGAAAATCAGGTCTAATAGGCTCGGTGCATCTCCTCCTCTTTCCCTTGTGTCTTCCTTCACATGTTGTGTCAGGAAATTCCTGTCTATAACATCTACTAATTTTGCTCCCCACGTTTCGTCCCCTCCATGGGGATTCCTTGATTCCCAATTTATCTCTCCATGATTTAGGTCCCCCATGATCAGCAGCTTCGCTCTCATTCTGTGGGCTAGTGTTGCTGCCTTCTGCAGTTCATCTATACATGCTTTGTTGTTGTCATTATACTCCTGCCTGGGTCTTTAACTGTTTGGTGGGGGATTGTAGATTACCAGGATCACAATCTTCCTCCCATCTACTGTCAGAGTTCCATGTATGAAGCTTGTGCACTCATTGGTAACTCGATTTCCCAGGTCTTCAAACTTCCATTTCCGCTTTATTAGGAGTGCTACTCCCCCTCCCTGTCTCTGTGTCCTCTCTTTTCGTATCACCTGGTACCCTTCAGGAAATATTGCATCTGAGATCATGTCATTAATTTTAGTTTCCACAATTGCAACTATGTCAGGATCTGCTTCACTCACTCTTTCTTTTATCTCTTCTGCTTTATTAGATACCCCATCAGCATTGGTGTACCAAACCTTGAGATTCTTCATGGAAACTCTTGTACCAGAGTTCTCCCTTTCTCTGGAGGTCTGGGGGGATCTGGGGATGTCTGGGGGGTGACTGGGGGCAGAGGGGATCTGGGGGATCTGGGGGGTGTCTGGGGGATGACTGGGGGCGGGGAGGGTCCGGGGGATGTCCGGGGGGATCCGGGGGGTGTCTGGGGGGGTCCGGGGGGTGTATGGGGGATGAAAGAGTTCAGGAGGGGGTGTTCAGAAAGAGTGCTTGGGGGGCTACTGGGGGCTGGGCTTCTAGGAAGGTAGGTAGGAGGGTCTGGGGTAGGGCCTGGGTAGGTAGGTCTGGAGTAGGAAGGGCATACTGGGTCTGAAGATTAGGGAGGGCATAGAGGGATTGGGAGATAGCGTAAGGTTGGGAGACAGATAGAGGTTGAGAGGTTGGGAGGGGGAAGGATAGAGGGGGTGGGGGGGACCTCCCCCAGAAGGAATTGACTCGCTCCTCTCAATGTTTGCTGATGATGCAACAATTATGAGGAGGATCAAGACTGAGGAAGATAGTATGAGGCTACAAGATGACCTAGACAAACTGAAGGAATGGATCAACAAATGGCTACTAAAGTTCAACCCGAGTAAATGTAAGGTAATGAAACTAGGAGGCCAGTCACTGGATACCGAATGGGAGAATGTCCTTCACGAAACGGACAGAGAGAAAGATCTTGGAGTTGATATCACGCCAAACCTGTCTCCTGAAGCCCACATCAAAAGAATAACATCAGCGGCATATGCGAGGCTGGCTAACATCAGAACTGCTTTCAGAAACCTGTTTAAGGAATCCTTCAGAACCTTGTATACCATATATGTAAGTCCAATCCTGGAGTATGCAGCCCCAGCATGGCACTCATACCTTGTCAGGCACAAGACGAAGTTGGAAAAAGTTCAGAGGTATGCCACTAGACTAGTCCCAGAACTAAGAGGCATGAGTTACGAGGAAAGGCTGCGTGAACTGCACCTCAAGTCGCTGGAAGACAGAAGAGCTCGGGAAGACATGATCACCACATACAAAATTCTCAGGGGAATTGACAGGTTAGAAAAGGATGGATTATTTAATACGGGTGGTACACACACACATGGGGAACACAGGTGGAAGCTTAGTACCCAAATGAGCCACAGAGACATTAGAAAGAATTTTTTCAGTGTCAGGGTAGTTAGTAAATGGAATGCATTAGGCAGTGATGTGGTGGAGGCTGACTCCATACACAGTTTCAAATGTAGATTTGATAGAGCCCAATAAGCTCAGGAATCTGTACATCAGTTGATTGACCGTTGATAGGCGGGACCAAAGAGCCATAGCTCAACTCCCGCAAGCGCAACTAGGTGAGTACAACTAGGTGAGTACATGTCATACAAAAAGGGCAACAGGCAAGAGGCACTGAACTACAGGCCAGTGTCCTTAACTTGTATACCATGCAAGGTGATGGAGATGATCGTGAGAAAAAACCTAGTAACACATCTGGAGAGAAGGGACTTCGTGACAACCCATCAACATGGGTTCAGGGAGAGTAAATCTTGCCTTACAGGCTTAATAGAATTCTTCGATCATGTGACAAAGATTAAGCAAGAAAGAGAAGGATGAGCGGACTGCATTTTCTTGGATTGTCGGAAAGCCTTTGACACAGTACCGCATAAGAGGCTGGTACATAAGCTGGAGAGACAGGCAGGTGTAGCTGGTAAGGTGCTCCAGTGGATAAGGGAGTACCAGGGGAGAACCTAAGCAATAGGAAGCAGAGGGTTACAGTGAGTGGTACTAAGACCTCAGATTGGCGTGAAGTCACCAGTGGAATCCCTTGAGGCTCTCTACTTGGACCTATCCTGTTTCTGATATATGTAAATGATCTCCCGGAGGGTATAGACTCATTCTTCTCAATGTTTGCTGATGATGCCAAAATTATGAAAAGGATTAAGACAGAGGAGGACAGCTTGAGGCTTCAAGAAGTCCTGGACAAAGTAAAGGAATGGTTCAACAAGTGGATGTTAGATTTTAACCGGAACAAATGTAATGTAATGAAGATATGTGTAGGGAGCAGGAAGCCAGATACAATGTATCATTTGGGAGATGAAACTCTTGAAAAATCAGAGAGAAAGAAAGACTTGGGGTTGATATAACACCAGACCTGTCCCCTGAAGTCGATATCAAGAGGATAACATCAGGGGCATATGCCAGGTTGGCCAACATAAGAACGGCCTTTAGAAACTTATATAAGGAATCATTCAGAACTTTGTATGCCACTTATGTCAGACCAATCCTGGAGTATGCAGCCCCAGCATGGAGTCCATATCTAGTCAAGCATAAGACTAAACTGGAGAAGATTCAAAGGTTTGCCACCAGACTAGTACCCGAGCTGAGAGGTATGAACTACGAGGAGAGACTACGGGAATTAAACCTCACTTCGCTCGAAGACAGAAGAATTAGGGGGGACATGATCACTACATACAATATTCTCAAAGGAATTGATAGGTATAAAAAGACAGATTTTTTAACATAAGGGGCACACACTAGGGACACAGGTGGAAAGTGAGTGCCCAAATGAGCCACAGAGATATTAGAAAGAACTTTTTTAGTGTCAGAGTGGGTTAACCAATGGAATGCATTAGGCAGTGATGTGGTGGAGGCTGACTCCATACACAGTTTCAAGTATAGATATGATAGAGCCCAGTAGGCTCAGGAACCTGTACACCAGTTGATTGACGGTTGAGAGGCGGGACCAAAGAGCCAAAGCTCAACCCCCACAAGCACAACTAGGAGAGTACACACACCAAGGAACTTCTCTCTCCCACGGTCAAAACAAAAATTTAATTAGATATTTCGGCATGTCTTTCAACATAATATTACACACAAGTTTATAACCTCTTCTAGGGAATTCTAATTAAAATTCTGCTTTCAGAATTTATAATGAAATGAGAGACATATGTTTATATTGTACAAATTTAACAAAGAGCAACAAGACAAATATTTTAGTTATAGAGGTATATAGAGTCGTGGAGAGGTCCTGGGAGGTATAGAGTCGTGGAGAGGTCCTGGGAGGTATATAGAGTCGTGGTGAGGTCCTGGGAGGTATATAGAGTCGTGGAGAGGTCCTGTGAGGTATATAGAGTCGTGGTGAGGTCCTGAGAGGTATATAGAGTCGTGGAGAGGTCCTGGGAGGTATATAGAGTCGTGGTGAGGTCCTGAGAGGTATATAGAGTCGTGGTGAGGTCCTGGGAGGTATAGAGTCGTGGAAAGGTCCTGAGAGGTATATAGAGTCGTGGAGAGGTCCTGGGAGGTATATAGAGTCGTGGTGAGGTCCTGAGAGGAATATAGAGTCGTGGAGAGGTCCTGGGAGGTATAGAGTCGTGGAAAGGTCCTGAGAGGTATATAGAGTCGTGGAGAGGTCCTGGGAGGTATATAGAGTCGTGGTGAGGTCCTGAGAGGAATATAGAGTCGTGGAGAGGTCCTGGGAGGTATAGAGTCGTGGAAAGGTCCTGAGAGGTATATAGAGTCGTGGAGAGGTCCTGGGAGGTATAGAGTCGTGGAGAGGTCCTGTGAGGTATATAGAGTCGTGGTGAGGTCCTGAGAGGAATATAGAGTCGTGGAGAGGTACTGGGAGGTATAGAGTCGTGGAGAGGTCCTGGGAGGTATAGAGTCGTGGGAGAGGTCCTGGGAGGTATATAGAGTCGTGGTGAGGTCCTGGGAGGTATAGAGTCGTGGAGAGGTCCTGGGAGGTATAGAGTCGTGGGAGAGGTCCTGGGAGGTATAGAGTCGTGGGAGAGGTCCTGGGAGGTATAGAGTCGTGGGAGAGGTCCTGGGAGGTATAGAGTCGTGGAGAGGTCCTGGGAGGTATATAGAGTCGTGGTGAGGTCCTGGGAGGTATATAGAGTCGTGGAGAGGTCCTGAGAGGAATATAGAGTCGTGGAGAGGTCCTGGGAGGTATATAGAGTCGTGGAGAGGTCCTGGGAGGTATAGAGTCGTGGAGAGGTCCTGAGAGGTATATAGAGTCGTGGAGAGGTCCTGGGAGGTATAGAGTCGTGGAGAGGTCCTGGGAGGTATATAGAGTCGTGGAGAGGTCCTGGGAGGTATAGAGTCGTGGAGAGGTCCTGAGAGGTATAGAGTCGTGGAGAGGTCCTGAGAGGTATATAGAGTCGTGGAGAGGTCCTGAGAGGTATATAGAGTCGTGGAGAGGTCCTGGGAGGTATAGAGTCGTGGAGAGGTCCTGAGAGGTATATAGAGTCGTGGAGAGGTCCTGGGAGGTATATAGAGTCGTGGTGAGGTCCTGGGAGGTATATAGAGTCGTGGAGAGGTCCTGGGAGGTATATAGAGTCGTGGAGAGGTCCTGAGAGGTATATAGAGTCGTGGAGAGGTCCTGGGAGGTATATAGAGTCGTGGAGAGGTCCTGGGAGGTATATAGAGTCGTGGAGAGGTCCTGGGAGGTATATAGAGTCGTGGAGAGGTCCTGGGAGGTATAGAGTCGTGGAAAGGTCCTGAGAGGTATATAGAGTCGTGGAGAGGTCCTGGGAGGTATATAGAGTCGTGGAGAGGTCCTGGGAGGTATAGAGTCGTGGAAAGGTCCTGAGAGGTATATAGAGTCGTGGAGAGGTCCTGAGAGGTATAGAGTCGTGGAGAGGTCCTGAGAGGAATATAGAGTCGTGGAGAGGTCCTGGGAGGTATAGAGTCGTGGAGAGGTCCTGGGAGGTATAGAGTCGTGGAGAGGTCCTGAGAGGTATATAGAGTCGTGGAGAGGTCCTGGGAGGAATATAGAGTCGTGGAGAGGTCCTGGGAGGTATAGAGTCGTGGAGAGGTCCTGGGAGGTATATAGAGTCGTGGAGAGGTCCTGGGAGGTATATAGAGTCGTGGAGAGGTCCTGGGAGGAATATAGAGTCGTGGAGAGGTCCTGGGAGGTATAGAGTCGTGGAGAGGTCCTGGGAGGAATATAGAGTCGTGGAGAGGTCCTGGGAGGTATATAGAGTCGTGGAGAGGTCCTGGGAGGTATAGAGTCGTGGAGAGGTCCTGGGAGGTATAGAGTCGTGGAGAGGTCCTGAGAGGTATAGAGTCGTGGAGAGGTCCTGGGAGGTATAGAGTCGTGGAGAGGTCCTGGGAGGTATAGAGTCGTGGAGAGGTCCTGGGAGGTATAGAGTCGTGGGAGAGGTCCTGGGAGGTATAGAGTCGTGGGAGAGGTCCTGGGAGGTATAGAGTCGTGGGAGCGGTCCTGGGAGGTATAGAGTCGTGGAGAGGTCCTGGGAGGTATATAGAGTCGTGGTGAGGTCCTGGGAGGTATATAGAGTCGTGGAGAGGTCCTGAGAGGAATATAGAGTCGTGGAGAGGTCCTGGGAGGTATATAGAGTCGTGGAGAGGTCCTGGGAGGTATAGAGTCGTGGAGAGGTCCTGAGAGGTATATAGAGTCGTGGAGAGGTCCTGGGAGGTATAGAGTCGTGGAGAGGTCCTGGGAGGTATATAGAGTCGTGGAGAGGTCCTGGGAGGTATAGAGTCGTGGAGAGGTCCTGAGAGGTATAGAGTCGTGGAGAGGTCCTGAGAGGTATATAGAGTCGTGGAGAGGTCCTGAGAGGTATATAGAGTCGTGGAGAGGTCCTGGGAGGTATAGAGTCGTGGAGAGGTCCTGAGAGGTATATAGAGTCGTGGAGAGGTCCTGGGAGGTATATAGAGTCGTGGTGAGGTCCTGGGAGGTATATAGAGTCGTGGAGAGGTCCTGGGAGGTATATAGAGTCGTGGAGAGGTCCTGAGAGGTATATAGAGTCGTGGAGAGGTCCTGGGAGGTATATAGAGTCGTGGAGAGGTCCTGGGAGGTATATAGAGTCGTGGAGAGGTCCTGGGAGGTATATAGAGTCGTGGAGAGGTCCTGGGAGGTATAGAGTCGTGGAAAGGTCCTGAGAGGTATATAGAGTCGTGGAGAGGTCCTGGGAGGTATATAGAGTCGTGGAGAGGTCCTGGGAGGTATAGAGTCGTGGAAAGGTCCTGAGAGGTATATAGAGTCGTGGAGAGGTCCTGAGAGGTATAGAGTCGTGGAGAGGTCCTGAGAGGAATATAGAGTCGTGGAGAGGTCCTGGGAGGTATAGAGTCGTGGAGAGGTCCTGGGAGGTATAGAGTCGTGGAGAGGTCCTGAGAGGTATATAGAGTCGTGGAGAGGTCCTGGGAGGAATATAGAGTCGTGGAGAGGTCCTGGGAGGTATAGAGTCGTGGAGAGGTCCTGGGAGGTATATAGAGTCGTGGAGAGGTCCTGGGAGGTATATAGAGTCGTGGAGAGGTCCTGGGAGGAATATAGAGTCGTGGAGAGGTCCTGGGAGGTATAGAGTCGTGGAGAGGTCCTGGGAGGAATATAGAGTCGTGGAGAGGTCCTGGGAAGTATATAGAGTCGTGGAGAGGTCCTGGGAGGTATAGAGTCGTGGAGAGGTCCTGGGAGGTATAGAGTCGTGGAGAGGTCCTGAGAGGTATAGAGTCGTGGAGAGGTCCTGGGAGGTATAGAGTCGTGGAGAGGTCCTGGGAGGTATAGAGTCGTGGAGAGGTCCTGGGAGGTATAGAGTCGTGGGAGAGGTCCTGGGAGGTATAGAGTCGTGGAGAGGTCCTGGGAGGTATAGAGTCGTGGAGAGGTCCTGTGAGGTATATAGAGTCGTGGAGAGGTCCTGAGAGGTATAGAGTCGTGGAGAGGTCCTGAGAGGTATAGAGTCGTGGAGAGGTCCTGAGAGGTATAGAGTCGTGGAGAGGTCCTGGGAGGTATAGAGTCGTGGGAGAGGTCCTGGGAGGAATATAGAGTCGTGGAGAGGTCCTGGGAGGTATAGAGTCGTGGAGAGGTCCTGTGAGGTATATAGAGTCGTGTAGAGGTCCTGGGAGGAATATAGAGTCGTGGAGAGGTCCTGGGAGGTATAGAGTCGTAGAGAGGTCCTGTGAGGTGTATAGAGTCGTGGGAGAGGTCTTGGAAGTATAGAAACAGGAAGTATCTCGCGATTTATAGTCCTAAAGCCCAACACCAAACGAAGCAATTAAATGTTAATCGGACATTTATGAAGTTAAAACTAAGTATCCCCTCTCTGTCTTTAGACTTACATTCGTTTTCTCTATATTAGTCAAGCATTACAATAAAATGCTTCAAAGAAAATGAATCTTTCAGCATTTAACGCGCTGACTGCGCTATTCAGACAGACGACACCTAATAACATGGCAGTACCAGAGCTGTTACCTGCGGTACAATTGTGTTAAAATAGTACAACTCAACGGTAGCGGAACTGTGGTCATACCATACTGTCCTCCGCGCCGATTTTACGTGCTTATAGGTCACTTGGAAATTAGAAAACCATATATAAATCTTACTTTACTGTTCCACAGTAGTCTTGATCGGCCTTAACTCTTCACGTCGTCCACGTAAAGTAAATAAACCGCTATTTCTCTTGCCGCCATGTTCAGGCGCTAGGTGGCGCTGCCGTATCAACACGCTACATCAACGACCCCTGCAGTCCTGCCACCGCACTAATTCCCGCAATTTCAATATTAATTTAGCTACTTCCTCACTGAATCTAGAGCAAGTTAGAACAGCCCTCTTCAGGCGGCGGTTCTTCTGCAACTGTCTGAAGTCATTAGCCACGACCCGGGTCACGTGACCTTGACTCCACCCCTGCTATTGGTTGACGTTGGCGCAGATCGGTCACGGTCGTAACTAGCCACCAGGAGCCAGGTTCACGAAAGCACTTACGCAAACACTTACAAACCTGCACACGTTTTCTCAAATCTTTGGCGGCTTTGTTAGCAATTATTGAACAGTTAATGAGCTCCGAAGCACCAGGAAGCTGTTTATAACGATAAGAACAGTTGAATGCGAAGATTTCATGCTTGTAAACTGTTTAATAAATGTAACCAAAGCCGTCAAAGGTTGAGGAAAGATGTACACGTTCGTAAGTGCTTGCGTAAGGGCTTTCGTGAATCTGGCCCCAGGTCGTTTAGGGGTTCAGTTCCTGAACCCATTATGTGCCTCTGTAATCCTTTTCACCACCGCCAAAGGGATGGGTATGGGGTGCATAATAAGGAAAAAAAATTAATTCTTCAGGGGGATAATTCTCCGTTGCTACAGTTACACTGGTTCTTTGAAGACGTAAACTTATCATAGGAGTCCAACCGCCAAGAATACTTAGTAAGAATAACAGCGAGTCCAT